TGCTTCACGCTTCGTGATTCCAAGCGATTTAGAAATTGGTCCAATGACCGATAAGTTGCTTATTCATCATAAGTCCATGTACGGCTAATCTTGCATCAGAACTGATCAGAACTGGCACTCAATTAACAGCTCTCAGTGTTGCCAACATCGAAACAGTAATAACAGCTTTATCAGTGAGGGCACTTTGGCATTTTATCAAATCACAGCTCCGAAACGATCTTTTACAATAGATTGCTTCAATTTTGTGTTGAAGGCAATTCCATTTTTGTATTTCCGTTTTAGACTTCGAATATGGAAACATTTGACATTATCTGTGACTTTATGCTGTAATTTTTTGATGTTTGTTTTTTGACCGCTTTTATTTCATTTTTTTCATCGAATTACGTAATTAAAATTCAATGATTTTTCCTACTTTATTCTATTTCAATATGATAAAATAGAAAACAAACCAAACTTACCGAATTCACCAAAAAGTTTGTGCTCCAAAGATTAGAGCAACTCTCCGACAATGTTAAACTTTATAATTCAGCTGAAACGTAGCAAAACTTACGCCTCGAGTGAAGATCGACAATTATAGAGACGGGATAACGACGACGTTCCCTTCAATTATTCAAACTCTAGACTAGACAAACTTACTATAAGTTTACCTTACAATATTAGAATGATTACATTATGGTTTAAAGAAGAAAAGAAACTTTACCATAGACTATAGAATTTAAGAGCATAATTTTATAATCTGTGATGCATACTTAGAAAGAAATAAAGGTACTTAGAGGAAGAATTCTTTTTGCCTAGATATCAGCGTGAACTTTGGTTTATCTTCACTTTACAACCGTGAGTTTCCATTGTATAAAAATGTCCTCTCTGTTTATTTTAAAAATGTTTGATTCATAGTTGTTGGCAAGGATCTCATATGAGGTTAGCTTTCTAGCTATTTACAGACAATCAGTCTAATTAGTCAATGCTCTATTACTCCAAAATACAGATATAAGTATGTTAAAGAACCGCGAAAGCGGTAGCGTTTAAATTAGCAATGACAAAATAAACACTAGAACTTTCGCTACTTGTGCAAAGTGTACACTCATGTTTATATCGAGAACAATCCAAAGCAGTTTTTATGTACTTCAATCGCTACTTGCAACCGCATAAAAGTTTCGAATATCATTACAACGGTTGTCTTTATTGCAAGTGTTATTTTTTATTTGAAGCTTTCCCGATTTCGCTTTTTATGACTACCTACTTTTTGTATAAGAGAGATAAATCCATCAGAACAACACTAGTAATGATGACAAAAAAAACATTTCACTTTACAGGTTATCCATGTTTTCCTGAGTAATCAACGTTTTTTACCGGCTAGTGATGTACATTTACGTTCCCTCGAAAAAAAAAATTTTTAGGTTATTGTCACATTTTTTTCGTACTAATGTTTGAATATATATCTCCAGAATGGCGCAAGGGACCTTGATTATTTGGCACAGGTGTAAAACTTAATATGGTAGAAGACACTAACTTAGTTTTGTTTTTTAATTCCGCGCGGACGTAGTTGCGGGCATGTTTATATTTGGTATCAGATTGTTCTACTTCTTACATCGGATACATAATTAATAATTTAATCGACGTAATTAAAATAATCAAGATCGCATGATGCATGATATAAATGCATCATCCAGAAACGATGCGAGAATGCAGTGAAAATATTTATCAAATGAATCATGTAGTCCATTGTAATACTAACTTTAGTCAACATAGAACAATATTTAGGCCCATACCATAATAAATAATGTTTCTTTTTACCTTAAACATACGTCAACTCTTTAATAGCAAAGGTTAGTGGCCGGCGCGGATTTTTAACGCTTAAATGCATGAAGTGCATTTATACATCAGTCTTTCATTTTTCTTTTTTTCCCTTAATCTATGTTTAATTTACTGCCAGTTTCAATTTATGGTATTTAAAAAGAAAAAAACGTACATTTAAGGATTAACAAATGGTTATGGTTAAAACGTCCTGGCTCAAAAATCTACGCCAGTGGTATGGAAAGAGTACCCGTTCACTTTTCAGAGCCGCGGTGTCAAGAATGAAAGTCGCCCTAATGATCGCCGAACTTCGGAAGAAGATGGCACTTTAAGAAGTAATGGTTATTAAAAATTTATTATGAGAAGGCAAAATGGGATATTGTAGTGCATATTTATGATGAAACATCAAACAACATTGACGTATAACCAACGGCTAAAGAATACACGTGTTTAACTAAACTTAACCTATTCGCTTAACTATCGTTAATTAAACGAAATGTAACTTAATAGTGCCAATATAAGATTCTACTAATTAGGTTATTTAAATTCAGTATATTTTTATGTAAATTGTACAGTCCAAAATTAGAGAAAAAAATTCTTAAGTATATATTTATTTTATAATTTACGTTTTAAAATTACTTATCATACAAAGTAACCGCGTTCGTGCGTGTTCTTAAATAGGTAAGTAAACAGAGCTCAGAGAATCTCATCTAACGGTCACACACTCGGACAAACGACCATTTCTCGCACCGAACCTAATGCCTTATTGTGCTTGTACGCTTTACCACGACTTTACGACCCCGGCGATAACTCAACTACTTTACGCCACAGACTGCAGCGTAATCATAGTTCAATTTTAAACTACTGCATTTTTACAGATTCAATTAATATACGTTGGATTTATCCTGTGTAAAGGAAAGTACTTTATCTCATTGAGAAAGATTTCCTTACTTCCTCAAATCTGTCCGCGTGAAATGAAAACAAAAGTGAGTAGTTAATGTGTTCTTTCAGACTATCCTCTACATCTATACCAAATTGTATTAAAATCCGTTCAGCTGTTGAGGCTACAAACTCTTGCAAACATCTACCCATATAAACTTACGCATTTATAATATCAGTTTTAAATATCGATGCATAAATAGTCGCAAGCCCTACGCCACAGACTTCGTAGTGCGTCAATTAAAAAATAAACACAGATTAAATAATCTGCAATGTGGTCGTGCAATTAATGTCGTCTGTCGGCTCGTCTTCATCCGGGGACACGCATCCCGTCTTCCCGGAATCGGGGACCACACGTAATTACTTTGATCGTTCCGAATTCAAATATTTGACCATAGACAAGATTTGTTTTTTTTTTATATTCTATTGTCAAAGAGCAAGTGCGGTTTGCGGACATTAAACTTCTAACGGGGTTTTTGTTTGATGACAATAATAGAAAGAAATGCATTAGAGATAATACAAATATAAGAAGAGGTCAATGAATTATAACACGTTTTCATGGCCTTTGTGTGATAAAATCATAAAGGAAATGTGTTAAAACGCTTTGTAAGTTTATTTCATACGCCCGCATTTTGTGGTTGCTTTAACCAGGATTTACTGACGTCTTGGTAACCCAATGCATCTTTTAAAAAAAAATTAAGACTCAGTTAACTTTCAATCAGAATTAGAAATATTATACTTGGTCAAACACTAATTATATAAATACAAAGATTATGACAAATTGAGATAGACAAGTATACATTAAATATTAATATAATAATTATCGAACACGCGCCAAACTCTAAGCTTTAGTACAAATTCAATCTTGTAAAAGGGTTCACAAGACTGATAAAATCTTACCAACGGGTGCAGGGGCTCCCTTTATTGTAATCAATAAAAACTCAAACGTACGTGCAACAAAAACATTACTCACAATCTTAACTTAGCGTATATTTATAACAAATATTCACTGAGTGACAATCAGATGGTTTTAAGAGTGGCAAAGAATATTTATGCATATAGATAGGACTTATAAAAATACTAGCCACTTTATCTTTGCGGAATTAAAAAAAAATAATAAGAAATATAGTTTATGATACTCAGTGATAATTTAGCTTTCTAATAGTTAACAATTTTCGAAATCGATTAAATATAGTTTGACTTTATTCGTTATGTACAAAAATGTAAAATTTTCTTTGCAGTTTTCCCGTAGAAGTGTAGATTTTAACGCGTAACACTAAAAGTTATTAGTGTGATATTGATAAGTTATCGTACAGGTAAATTTAATAGAGTTAAAGTCCGTTTCCACTGACGAAACTTCTGTACCGAGGTAACAATTTGTACATAGTAGTGTAAACCCACAGTAAAGACTTTATAAACTGTCAGACATCCCTAGACTAGACATGTAACAGAATGTTATTTATTAGTAACCGTAGTTTTCAGAAATAATACATTAATGCCTATAATACCATTTAAATGCATGCAACGTCTATTTTCTGTTTTAAATAACTCTAATACGTAAGTCCCAAAGCTCACATATTGAAGGACTTGTCGGTTGTTTGCCCAATACCAAGCAGTCAGCCAAGCGAAACGATTTGGCCCAAACCAAGGAAATTGTAGTTAAATTTACGTATATTTTATACATTATTTTTAAAAGAAAACACACGATAAAGTTATTAAAGCCTCGCATAGATAATGATTGTTATTACAACTGATGAACGTGTAGGAATTGTCGTAATTTGAATTTTAAAACTTCAAGTTTAGTTGCGTGAAATGGTGCACGCAAATTAGCACAGGTAGATCGTTTTCATTGTTACTTCTACGTAATGTGTTATAAAATTCTTTTTATATCGTTAATCTTTAAAAATCCAATATTATTTTACATCAAAAAACTGTATGATAAATGAAAGTTAATTTTGTAATTAAATTACATTGTGCAAATTAAAGTTAATCTAAGTAATGAGTTTTAAAATAATATTATCTTAATAAGTTCTTTTCTTTATAAGTTACTAGATGTTGGTCGCGACTTCATCCGCGTGAATTAAAATAATAATAAAAAAACCGTAGCCTATGCTACCCACTTATAATATAGCTTTCTAATGTGAAAAAATTTTTAAAATCGGGCCAGTAGTTTTTGAGTTATTTCAATACATAAAAGAATATAAATCTTTCCTCTTTATAATATTAGAACAGATATAAAAGACGAAAACTTAATTCAATAAACTCACCGTATGAGGTTCTGCATCGTTGGTTGGCCGACGACCTGGCAGCAAAACCTTATAGATTAAAAAAAAACACAACGACTTCTGAATTCGAATCGCTCGTAAAACACTGCGCTTTTCTTTAACCGTGCGATACGTGTGCGTCGCGTAAAGGTCGAGACGTTTCTGTCGTTGGCGGGGCCGCCTGCCTGCTCTTGAACTTGTGACAGGTTGCACTGGCCTGCAGAGACCGTTGCATTATTGTTTCTGGAACTCCTTATGGGAAGAAAACACCCCTCTTTCGCCCGAGATACTAACGAATCCGGAGGGAGGGGTAGGTCAAGATAAAATGGTATGTATAGCGAAAGCGTGCATACGCAGTTTACAATAGCTAGGAGTAATTGTCGGTAGCTTTTATTTGCGGACCAATTAAACGAATGATTAGCGTGTTAGTCCGGCGAGATGAAAGTAATGTCTACACTTGTCTGGAAGCCTAAATGAGCAATTGTATGCCATTTAGACATTTACTAACAGCAATTTTATGTAGTTTTAATTTCCGTAGGAGTATGAAGAAGCTTAATTTTACATGTTTTTTTAAACACAAACTATAGTATCACAGATAAAATATAACTTTACGGACCACTTATTCTGGTTTAAGAAGCCGAAGGTAGGGAAATTTAAATGAATCAATAGCCCTTCTGGGTTTGATCGTATGTGACTCAGACGTTATAAGGAAACCCGACACTTTCTTAGAAAGTGAACGTATAAAAAAAGTAAAGTTTTAAAAAATATATCATGGAGTTTCCCATTATTGAACTGTTACGATATCATAGGAGTAGTAAGACTAGTATGTATTATTAACGCGGGAAAAAGTAGCCAGCAGTAACAGCTGTAGGAATTACCTGGCATGGGGAAAGTACTGTGACGTCACAGTTAACATAGATTTAAGTCAAGTAATAGCGCTAATCCGTTTCAGATGAGTGTGTGCTGAGTATACTCTATTCAGTCTAGATCGTATAAAAGGGTTTTATAATACTTTTGAGTCGAATAGAAATAATTATTTTTTATATCTAATCTTTTACAACAATCAGAGTAAAGTAGAGCGAGACAAGTTACGTACATCGCATAATTACCAGGCATTTTACTAAAACTCTCCATCGTTATCTTAATACATATTAAAAATTTCTCCGTCTGTGATTATAATAATGAAAGTATCTTAATATTATCTAAGTTTTAAACAATTATTATAATTGTAACAAGCAATATTAATGTAACATACCACTAGAGATCTCGTCAGGAATGCGCGCGAATATATCAATTCTTCTAATGACATTGACAGCTGTCAGCTAGGGACGTAACGTTTATTCCGATAATCTAGTGTTGCGCCAATTCCACGACACGGTACTAATTATCTTCTTAACATTAGTAACTTCAAGTACTCGTTATAAAATTGTATTGAAAACAAACGAACGCACGCCTTTGGTTAAACTATGGGCAAATGTTGTGCGATTGTCGATTGTTTCGCAGCCAATTCGACTGTTTGGAAAACTAAAAATCGAGTAGTGTGACCTCCATATAAGTTTATAAGAATCAAAGCGAGTTGTGCGATAGTTTAGTTTCAAGTGCGCAAACCTTTATAGATTATTATAGACTATGTAACAGTGATAGAAAAACTATAAATCTTTCTATTTCATGGGTATCATAGATAACAGTATGCATTGTTGCATATTCTTGTAATACGCATATTTCCATACATGTGGGAAAATGATCATCCATAGTCAATTATGTCTTTTTTTAAGAAATAAGCATTTAGTCTTCTTAGTCGCTGTAAATGGCTACATGTATTGTTATAAAATCTCACAAGTATACGGTAATTCTTTTTAGCATAAACTAAGGTTTTGCTTTCATGCATTGCATGAAATTGTACTCGTACACCAGTTGTAATCTTACTTCTAATATGATAAATGCAAAAAATTAAGATGGATGAAGGTTTTTAGAGTTTGTTGCATAAACTGCAGAACTAAACAGTGCAACAGTACAACTTTAACAGTGGTAGTGCCCGCTTTAACATCTTAACACTGCAGGGCCGGCACGCCCCCAGTAATACCACGACCACACAGAAGACAGGCGTCAAATGGAAGCAATTCCGTATTTCGTCTGATGAGTGTGGTGCTAGAGGTCTATTTTAAGTCCCTTACTCCTTACCACCCTTTTCTCATAAGGAGAGGATGGGAAGGGGAAGGAAGGAAGGAAATGGGAATTTGACAGTGAAGGAGATGCATAGGAAGGGGAAATATCCTCTTTATGTGCGTCTCCTCCTCCGTCGGATAAGGGTAGGCAACGCATCTGTAATTGCAGATGTCTATGGACAGCGGTCACTTCGCCATTTTGGCGGATTCGGGTGGCCGCTTGCTCTTTTGCCACCTTATGTTATAAAAAAAAACTAATCTGGATGAAATTTGACATAGATGTAGAACATAGTCTAGAAGAACACAGGCTAAATTTTATTTTTTTAATTTTATTTTTAATTCCGTGCGAAAGCTGTATGTCGAAACCTAGTACTTAATCTAACCTGTGTTTTAACTACAGAAATAAGTACAATACGAATGGGAATTCATGATTACATTCTCAAAACTTGTAATAGTGTACAGTTAAGGAATAAAATTCGCTTCCCACTTGTATTAATATCTTAGGGTAAATTGTCAGCATAAAAGCTATTTACCACAGTCTTGTTGTATTATGAGCGTCAGAATTTAATCTGTCCTTGACTGTACAAGTACAGTTGTATGCGCAAAATGTGTTCTATGCGACTGTACTATAGACTTTTCTGTACAGTGCCGGAGAATTAAGTTGTTTAACCGCGACATAGGAAGGAGGATACGTGACGGATGTTCCGTCGTGTCTGACCGTTGTACATTAATATTTATGACGATAATATTGTAACCAGATTTACTAAATTCCTAGGACTGTATTTCCTTAGATTTAAAAACATTGGTCATACTTTCATTAAGCGGCCGCGGCTCTGTCCGCGAGACTTTTTATAGAGATGGGTACTAAATTTCCACTGGCGCGACAGTAACTGTTGAGATGAGCGATTAGCGGCTTAGTGGAAAACAAAAGAAAGGAGTTGCTGACCTCCCCTTTTGTAGTCGAATAATTCTGTGAATTATATTGTACACAAAAATTTTCTATGAAATGTCTCATAAAATTCGTAAATGTTAGTCTTCGTAGTGGAGTGTCAACAAATGCAGGCGTTTGCGAATTAGATTGGAATTGTCCTTATTCGTGCTGTCGTCGACAACGTAATAAGATGTTAGTTTAGATGACAAGCTGACTTCTAGACTTGCTATATCCTAGCTCTTAGGTATGAAGTAATTGAAATTTGCAATTTTAAGACTATGCCAGTTTAAAAGAAATAAAACAATATACTTTGAGACCGTATCTCGGTTGTATTTCAATACATTCTTGGAGACAATGTTTAAAGGATTTCTACTTCAATTATACAGCTGTCTAGGGAAAAAGGCTAAAGGGACAAAACGAGCCTTTGCAAATGTATGAGCCGCATGCATCAACGTAGAATGCGTGCAAAGCATATTGATGCTTCAATGTCAGTAGAGTTACCATAAGGATAAAGAGAATCAGCATTTCGACGACATTTTTAAAAATAAAAATCATTACTGGCCGATTTAAAAATGCACTTCTTTAAACCGTACTGTTCTAAATTCAAATCAAAATTGTATTTTTAAATTAGAAGGTGCACGTTTCAATCGTTCCAAATTTAAAAAGCTCTTAAATGTAATTTTCTCATCTAATGGTGGCAATAACTAGCCAGCGTTTAGTCACGGTAATATTATAAATTAAATGTAATTTATTACACACCTCTTAAATTGTACACTGCCGTAAATATTCATTACTTTTATCAAAACACTTGAATGTACTATTATTTATGCATTAGCATAGTTTTGAACGATGTAATTTTAAGAGGGAAAGCAAACGTGGCTTTTTTTGACATGCAACGCTGCGTTCAAAATAATCTTCTTAAGTTTAATTATTTTGAACAAAAAATAAACATTGTTAAAGTGAATTTACAGTGAAAGGGTAAAATTAGTATATCACAGTTAATGGTTAGTAGAAGAAAGTAACTCTTTAGCTTATCTATTAACAAAAAAAAAAATTAAATATTAGGAACATGTACATTTTTTTTATTTTTTTAAATTCGCATATCTACGTAACCTTTTTATTTGTATTACTTATGTGGTTGATATATAAACTATTTGTCGTAAGCGATAATTCATAATACCGTATTTTTTAAGCGTGGGCGTTGGTCCCGCTATATTCTAAGATTTACAACACAAATAACTCGGAAACCGGCTGTTAACCAATTTACAGAGTTACATCTATGCATACGTATTATAGGCCTTCGTTAAAATCATGTTACCGTAAAAATATAAAAATCGTTAACTAATTAATTATAGGTAGTAATTTTACATACGCTTCGCAAATAATCACGGAGAGTGGAGAAATATCTCCAAGAGATTGTCAAGAAGAGTGGTTGCGACCCTCAGGTATGAGGAAACGATCCTGAGAGAGAGAGAGAGAGAGAGAGAGAGAGAAAGTGTTATTTTGATACATTTTATAAATTGCAAACCTCATGACGTCAAATTGTGGGTCAACTGTTGATACCTTGTTTACAATGAACATGTAAAGAGTATCTGAGGCCAGTGAGCCGATACAGATCTAACCAGTCATATTACTGTCTAACTGTACTAGCCATATATAAAAGCATTAGGTTTCTTCTTTATTTTGGCAATAGTGAAGCCACATTTGTACTCTATGTTAAATTTAAATTCAGTTCATAATTATCTGGTCATATTGTAAATAAACGTGTTGTGTAATTTAACGGTGACATTCATATTTCTCTAAGCTAACGATAACCAATCAGAGTGTTATATAAGGTCGATAAAAAGTATATTGACATGGAAACGCATGCAAAAATTGACCGAAACGAATGTTCAATTAAAAACTGCGAATTTGACCGGACTCGAAGGAAGTTGGGGTTATTCATTTGCAGTATGAGAACTTCCTTTCGTGTTTATTGTTTTTTTTTCAGTTTAAATATCTTTAAGACTTCATACACACGAAATAAATGAAAACACTTTTTTTGTATAACATTAATTTTTTTATTTAATAGAAAGGTACACACACAATTTA